TTATTGGGAAAAGTGTTGTATGATATTTTTATGGAGTACATTTTCAAAAATATTATATTTAATTAATATTTTGAAAAATTAATTATTAAATTAAATTATTTATTTATTTAAATTATTTACATAATAATAATAATATAAAAATAAATATTAATTTTATATTTTTTAAGTATATTATTTATAAAAATATATATTTACTATACTTTAATTATTTGTCATTTCAACAAACTCATAATTTACTTCAAAAAAAAAAAAAAAGGACAACCCATAATTCTATTGTCTTTTTTTCTAATAATGATTATTCAATTTGCCACGTGGTCTACAAATTAGCGAGAATCCCCAAAGTTTCTTTATTTCTCATTCTTTTTTATTTTTTCTCAAAAAAATCCAAATTTATCAATGAATCGTATAATTATAAAACCATCACTCATATTCTTCTGCACCAGCCTTTTTAGTTATCATGGGAAAACACATTAACATAGAAACCTATGCTCAGAATAACTCCACGGCCGGTGCAGCCGCCACCACCACCACCACCACCACCTCCTCCTCGACAACATCCTCTTCTCCAAGTCTCCATCAAAACACCAAAAATTTAAAAGGTTGTACTTCTTCAAAGGGTGCAGGGAAGGGTCGAAATTTGGAAAACGAAAGTACTGAGAGCAAAAAGAGGCATAGAGGTAGTGATGATAACGGCAGCAAGCACCTGACGTACAGGGGAGTACGGATGCGTAGTTGGGGCAAATGGGTGTCCGAGATACGAGAACCCAGGAAGAAATCAAGAATATGGCTCGGAACATACCACACGGCAGAAATGGCGGCTCGAGCACATGACGTTGCGGCGCTGGCCCTCAAAGGCAGATCCACTTACCTCAATTTCCCCGATCTGGCACAAGACCTCCCTCGCCCCGTCAGCACCTCTGCCAAGGACATCCAAGCCGCCGCTGCCAAGGCTGCCGCAGCCACATTTCTCGAGGGGCGGAGGAGCATTGAAGATGCAGAAACAGAATCCAGCCCAACAGAGCTCCCTGTTTCGCAGTCGTCACGCTCTTCCAACAACGTACAAGAGTCATCAAGTTTGGCATCTATTTACGACGACGACGAATTGTTTGATCTTCCCGATCTCTTAGTAAACGGAGTTGATCGGAGCGATGAGTTCTGCCATTATTCTTGGTCGTGGCAGCTCTGTGCCGCTGGTTCAGGATTCCGGATTGAGGAGCCATTCTTGTGGGAGTATTAATTACAAAAGGAATCCAATAATCAGGAGAAGGTTCGTAAAAATGTCAGAGAAAGAGATAATCTCCAATGTAATAATATGATTACTGTTCTTAAAATTAAGCAATAAAACGACTAATATTTCTTTTTATGAGTGTAATCTAAGCTTGCTTTAGCAATACAATTACTTTTAATAAATGTTAATAACTATAGTTTGATGGTAATCTCTAATATTGCAAAATCAATCAATATAATATCCATCAAAAAATTGTAATTTAGTTAATAGAAAATATATTCCTCATTTTATCAATTAAGATTTAGTTTGAACGGTTCTTAATTTACATAAAACTAAGGTTTGGATATTCATTGGAATAATATCATTTGAGCTAATTACGATTGCATGCAATTACCGTTACCCAAGAAGATACAGACCTGCCTTCTATATTTAGGTTGCTGATTATTTTGGACATACATTTTTCTAAGGATATTTATGGCATATACCTGATTTTGATATTATAACTTTAAAACACTAGACTTTAAACTAATTAAAGACTACTAAACTGCTGATTTCTTAACAAAATTTAGATACACTATTCAATAATGAATTATGGGCTGAATGAAGCTGGAAAGAGACCCAAACCATGAAATGGATTTCTTTCTTTGTAAATAATTACGAGCACAATGAGAGATTGTGGTATATGGTTTTGCTTTGGCCAACACACTTTGCCTATCATCATAGTTTGTTTTTAAAATCATTACTAGTAAAGAAAATATCATTCTAAAATTATTTTGGTATAGAAAAGTGTTGTGTATGGCAAAGCAAATGCGCCTTTGTTCCCCAACAAGAATGAAGCCACTAGGCATATTAAATATGAATGCTAAGTAACATCAACATCATTATCATATTCTAATTTGCCATTATTAGTTTACGGTTGGGTCTTGCAGCAATTGCCCAATTAAAATTTGAAAATTGACAAGTGTGTATCGACTCAGCAGGAGTACTTATGGAGGATAATTAACTGACCAGAAGTTACCTGATCATTTAGGATAACAATGATTTTTTTCTCTATGTGAACCAATCATTGAGAGGTAAAAGGATGTTATTAGTTTCGATTTAAGTAAATTAGTAATAATTTTTAATAAAATGAAAAATTTTAAATTTAATTTGAATGATATATTAATAAAATAAATTAAAAATAAAAAATAATATTTTTTATTATACCATTTAAAATAAAAAAAAATTTGAATGATATATTAATAAAATAAAATAAAAATAAAAAATAATATTTTTTATTATACCATTTAAAATTAAAAAAAAATTGGACCAATTGTGCAGTTAAAGAGTTTAGAAAATGTACTGTAGTAAAAAGGACAGGGAAAAGAAGTTCCATTTTGATTGGAATATTCTTTGTACGAATTTTTTAAAATTAATTTTTTAATATTTGATAATCATATTAAATTTTAATTAATTCATAATCGAATTACATCAGATCTCATTTAAAAGAAATTTTCTTAACATTTATTTTTTCATTCACAAAATTTAAATTTAAAATCTTATTTTAAAAAAAATTAATTTTTTTTCATTCAAATAAACAAATGATTGTTCTTTGAACGAGTAATTAACATTCCCAATTAGCTAACTTTTCTCGCCGTGCAAGCATGCTGCTTCAATCTTTCAGCGAAAAAGAGAAGTACTACTTTAGTCACCATGAAAAGTAGAAACAACCGGGAAATATCATCATTAAATTATTAGTCATTATCATAATTAAGAAATGATTATTGGAGATAGATTATTTTATTTTATAATTAAGTACTGAATTTGTACAAATTTGGTCAATAGATGACAGAGTCTTTAATATGAGGCGATTTATTTATATTTAATAATTTAAATTATATAATTAAAAAAATTTTAATTGTACAATATTTTTTAATTAAGTAAGTATTGACTTTTAAGCTATATTTAAAGATCAAATTTTGACATTAATAATTAAAAAAATTAATTTGTTTAAATGTATTGATGTAGGGAATATATCTTTCAAATAATTATTAAATTATTAATCATTATCTTAATTAAGAAATGGTTATTGAAGAGATTCTTTTTATTTTATAATCAAGATTACATTTAATGAACTATAAAATTCAAGTCATTAGATAAAAAGATCTTCAACATTAAAAAATTCATCCACATTTAATAATTTAAAGTGTACAATTTAAAAAAATTTAAACCATAAAACCCTTTTTTAATTGGAGTAGATAAGAACTGTTTTCTAAACCATATTTAAACATCACGTTTTGAAATTAATAATTAAAAGGATTAATTTTTGTAAACAAACCAATATAAAAAATACATCTTTAAAAGTCATTTAATAAAAAATTACTTCAAAGTACAAACATATTGATTTAAAAACCCTCATAACTTTCAAAAAAATACTAATAAATAAAACAAGGCGCCGGTTGTGGAAATGACTGATTCTAAAGTGTGAATAAAGAGTACAAAAGAACGGTAACGTCCAGATCCAGTGCAAAGACACCATGACCATGGAAGAAAATAAATAAATAGAATATTGTAGCATGATTAATCGTGACCTTTGACGGGTTTTAATAATTAGTGGCCGATCGATCTCCTTTTTCTTCCTTCCAACTACCATTTTGGTAACAACAAAGGTTGGATCAAGTGATAAGCGACTTATTTCAGTTTAAGTAAAATTTTGAATTCGAGATTTTATATACGCAGCAATTCTTGTTGGGAGACTCACTCACCATTTTTAGGTACGCGACGCAAGTTAGATCCGGATTAATCGGGGCGAAGCCCTCGGATATGAGCGGGAAATCAAAAAAAAAAAAATCCTACCATTTTGGTTGTTTTTTTTATTTTATTTTATTTTATAATTACATTAGATTTTCATTAATTTAAAACTGATCCTTGTTAGATCTCATTAAAAAAAAATTTCTTAACATTTATTTTTTTATTTATAGAATTTAAATTTAAAATTTTATTTAAAAAAAATTAAAATATTTTCATTCGAATCAACATATTATTGATGATTATTATTATGGTAGACAGGGACGATCTTCGCTAATATAATAATATTACACGCGAGCAGGTACGAAGACAAGAAGAATCCATTTGTTCCGTGATTGATTGATCAATAATTAATTTAACGAAACATGGGTTTAGAGCTTTGGTCTGATAAAATCTAGAGATACGATATTGAAACTGTGGGCTACTTGTGTTTAAAAATATTAAAAAAAAAAGAAAAAGACAAAAGCAGAGGGAATCCCATGTTTTCTTTTTTTCTTAAATTTAGGAAAAGAAAGACTATATATGCTTTTACTTTATTTTTTTTTAGGAGATCATTATAGAAGCTCACATGAATACGTGAACATGAAGCAATTCCATACTAAAGTTTCTTAAATATATATATGTGTGTATAATCGTGTGCAATCTTTCTTTCTTTTTTTTTTTTTTTTGAGTGGGAAATAATTTAATAAAAAAATATGAATTAAATATAAAAATAATTATTTTATTTATTATTAATTAATTTTAAATTAAATATAAAATTTATATTAAAACCAACATGTTAATTTTTATTTTTTTCTTAAATAATTTAAAAAATTAAATTTATTCTAGATCGATATATATAGTATTTGTTGTCAGTTGTCTCTAGAAAATGTTGCTGTCAGATCAATTCTCGAGATCACCTAAAGTTGCAAGATGTCTCAATGCCAACTATGGCTGAATCATTGCTTCGTCCCATACCATTGAAGTATATATATATATATATATATATACCCTCTTGATTGAGGGTACAACGTATCAAATATTGGATTAAAGTCTATCTTAAAGTTCATTTTACCTTAATATTATAATTGACACAATATATCAATGTATATTAAATCAAATCATTGGCTTATCAATTTTTTTGGGAGTAAAATTGTTTTGATTTACATGCACCATATATGATGGTTCTTTTCTACCCAAAAATCGAGGATAAGCAAAAGAGGTCATGGACTACTATGGTTGCGTGTACTGAGGAAATAGACGTGTTCAATAATGAAGAACGTACTGGATCTGCAAAAGTAGGGTGTGAAAAAAATCATAAACGCTTTTTTTTTTTTGGCAAAACCATAAGTTAAGCCCCTGAACCAACCCCAGAATCGCTATTAAGCCCCTAGACTCTAATTGATGCATATAAGCCCCTGAACTCTACAATCCGAGCAATTTTGCCCCTCC